CCCCCCCCCCCCCCTCATTTGTTAAATTACAATTTTTATTTTTATAATTTAATAAAATCACTTTCAAATTCATTATCTAGTTGAACCGATACTCATCTAGATATTATCCTCTTTACGTTATCCCGATCAGTTTATGGACTTCTCCGTTACGTGATCCAGATACTGCCCTCTCCCCATTAAATGTATAACAGGGAGAGGTTTCCACACTCTTACAAGAGATGGTTCGTTCATCTCTAACTGATGTCATAGGATCTCATAATTTACCACATTAGGAGTCTGGTGTCCTCGTTGGCACAATACTCCAGTGTTTTGCTCTAATACTATTTGTAACAACTCAAAACCCCACGTTAGCATATATTGTTCGTTTTGGTCGGTTAAATATAATAATCAGTCTCTAGAGAGATTTTCACACGCTTATAAAAAATGTTTCATTCTCAAATACGATTAGGAGAGTTTTCCACACATTTATAAGAAAATGTTTTCGTTTTCCCCTCCAACTCACGTGAGATCTAACAATGGTTGTTTTGAATGATTTTAAATGTTAAAAAATCTAAACTTGACTCGATAGTCTTTCAACTTCAACCTGTAATGATTTATTTATTTTGAAAAAAAGCAATAAAACTGTCAAAATTCATTTTACGTCATCAAAATCTTACATATACGTGATTGCTCCAAACATATGAAGACATGGGTCGAGCAAAAATAATATTCAATAATTTGTTTAGTTTATACGACCATAAATTTGTGAGCCACTAATAAATGGTTTTAGATTTTATCGTTTCTCATTTCCTTCAACGAAATTTGTCATTTTTACTTGCCGTTTTCCAAATACGTCAAACACGACAATACACGAACTAAATGTCCAATTATATTTCTAGTTTCGATGATCATACATTCGTTTAAACGGTTACTTTATTTCTTAAATTCTCTCATTCATTTACTAACAACAAACATATCCAACGTCATTAAAACCTTACATTCGCACAGGATTTTTTAGACACGTTAAACAAAATAATTAAAATCTAACAAAGTTGTGAATAACTAATTTTAGATGCTCGAGAAAATGAGAGAAACATAAATCAAACCATATTACATTCGAATAAGAGAAATTACGAGGATACGGAAGTTAAGAAATGCATAAAAAGTATCAATAATATGCACATTTTTTCACGATGACTCAACCACAAACATTTAGTTTTGGTCAATTCTATATATTCGTGTTCGTCTGAGTGACCTAAGAATTTTCATAGAAAGCATGTTGAACTGATTGGTGTTAGTCTGCGTGGACAATCTTCATTTTTAGAAGCAACAAACCATTAAGTCTATTTTCAATTTTATTTTATTGGCCATAAAATACAATTAAAAATTATATATAAAATTAAATAAATAAATAAAAAAAGAATAAAAACAAGAAATCATCGAAGCGGCGGGGGATAAGATGGTAAGGCAGTGAAAAGCATATTCAAAGCCTTAACGTCCGCCGGGAATGCTGCAGTCGTGTGCTGTCAACTCAACCACCGCCTCTCGCCGCCGTCACGCCCCATATTTGTTCTCACATATTTACCTCTCATTAAATTATTATTTTTTTTAAACTAAAATATATATGGTACGTGGGTTTAAATGTATTCATTTTTATAATTTTTATTATTTTAAAATTAGTCTATGAAAATTAAATAAATTGTTTTCTAAGAGATAATTTAATTTATAGGCATTGAAAAATTGTCTTCCTCTTTTATTATTATTTAAATATGTGAAATCTAATTAATTATGGTGGTTAAATGAATAATTTTCATTTTTTTAATATAAAAAAAATGTTAAATAATATCTTTAACCTTGAGCTGAGCTTGTTTTAGTAATAAAATAAATTGTACAATCCAAAACTATATTTTTAATACCCGTTGACCAAATAAGATATTATGATAAAAGTTTGAATCTAAAAAATAAAAATATTTCAAAAATTATATTTATGATTTAAATACTATTTTTAACTTTTATTATATTTATGACCATTTTGCCTTCGCTTACTAAAATATCATGAAAAAAACAAATGGACTAAAATAATAAATTTTTATGATATTGCCCACCTCAGTATAAACTCTTATGGCATAGCTCTGTATTTCCAAAAAGATCTCGTATCAATGGAGAGAATATTATTTGATTATAAACCCATAAACATTCCCTAAACTAGCGGAGGTGGGACTTTCATCATCCAACACTCGGATCCAAATGAACATTTCAATAAAAATTAATATCGACCCGAAATCAAAATAATTATAATAGTTGATTTAGTTGGACGGAATAATTGTTTGCCCTTTTTTTTGCCTTCACTTTAGTTATTTGATCTCTTTCCTTATCTAAGAAGCTAAAGAAAATGAGGGTCACACAATTATAAGACACAAAGACTTCCTTTACCAATTAATTGGGCATAGTGGCTAAGCTTTGAATGCTACAATATTTCCATTGCCATCACCCTAAGCAACCACCAAAATTAATGGAATCGAAAAGATCACGCGAACTTGTGTTCACTGCAGCCTTATTGTTATCTATAAATAAAAAAAGATTGTAATAGTAATCTCGTCGATCTAAGTATTTTTTATTTCAAATTTTAAACGTTTATTTGATCTATCAATTAAAAAAAGAAAAAAGATCTGAAATTGAATGGCGAAGGCATGAAAAAGTAAAGGTCCCCAGCTATGGTATAATGTTCATACGCGTTTTGGGGTGATGTGACAGCCGAACAAAACATTAGGACTTATTATAAGCCATAGACAGCCCACAGCCCTGTAATAAATGCAAGTCGGTTGCATCACAACTCATTCTTCTTCTTCTTCACCTTTCAGATACAAGCAAATTCGTTAATTGCCTAAGACTTCAGAGCCCATTTTGCTCTGTTTTCAACGTTTTATGAATGTTTAACAGCTATCAAGTTGGAAGAAATTGACGGGCAAAGCATAAGGAAAGTATTCTCGCCCCCGAGCATAAGATTCAATATGTAATGTGTGAGATCCCACACGGTTGGAGAGGGAAACGAAACATTCTTATAAGGGTGTAGAAACCTTTCCCTTTCTCCAATAGCTGACATCGATACATAACAAACTAAAGCTACGACCTGGTTATGCTACTCGTCTTGAACGAATATGATCTAAATCTTGCCCTGGGCAAAAGAGATGGAGGAGAAAAATGAAGCATTATCACTTGTGAAAATTTATATATTCCTATGACCTTTAGGCCAAATTTTCCATTCTTCAATTAATAATCAAATAACTTAAGTAGAGATAGACAATGGCCTAATAACAGAGCAGCAAAAAGGGGAAGCAAAAAAAAAAAAATGTTGGAAGAATATCCATCGACTATAGATTATAAATTAAAGCATTACAAAAGTAAATAAATAGAAATGTGAAATATCTCGCTAATGAACGGAAGGAACTGTTTTTACTGGCATCGTTGCTCGTTGTCAGGACGACTAGCTAGCTTGCTGATCTGATCCCTCCGGGCGACGAGGATGGGCATGGGAAAATTTAACAGCAACAGGGAACTGTAAAGAAGATGGCTCTTTTGGTATTTATTCTGAATCCCTCACACTCTCACTTGTCAGCCACAGCTTCTTCTGGATGATTAACACGACCTCGTCGCTCTCCAGTTCCGAATCGGAGCTGGAGTTGGCAGTTGCCACTGTTTCCCAGTGCAATGCAGATAGATGTTTCTTTATCATATCTATAACAGATTGCTTGTCCCTGATAATGATGAAACCTGTGGGTCTGAGTATGCGATCCATCTCGAGTAATAGGTCCTCGGCGCTGCATTCTTTCTTCTCGATGTCAGAAAACACGGTCCATGCATGGAGCAGATCGTATGTTCGAGGATATGTCGAGAAGGCTTCGCACCTGTTAAAAACGTATCAAGTAATTGGCTTACCTATTTTGAATATAATCATAAGGATATGCAAGTGCATTTTTCAGTTGAATACCAGTTATTGGTAGTGCCAATGAGGCCTCGGTCATATATCAGCTTCAATGTGTTAGGTTCGTCTTCTTGAACGACATTCATCACCCACACGTCCTTGTCCTTCAGAGCAGCTGCGAACGATCCCATATGTGCCTTCATGTCCATCACGTTCCTGATAGTATCCGATTCGATCTTTGGACTCAGCAGATTCCAGTAACTCTCGACTCTACGCTGCCAAGTTTCCTACAACAAGGCGATAAAGTTCAGAAACTTCGGCATCCGGATTTGAATTAGTCGAATTCACCCTGGGTTTCAGTTACCGTGTCTTTTTCAAACATTTCAGAAGAATAGCCAAAGTCCTGAAGTCGTGGAGGAGGTGACGTTAATCGAGCTGGCCAAGGAGCCAATCCACTGCCCTTGGCTTTATGATCATCTGCATCAACAAACCCAGTGTCATCATTGAGTAGTAAGTAAACAAAAATCTACATCAAGCCATTCGACAAGGAACTTACGATCCGAGTAAGGAGTGATACAAGCTTCCATCAGCACACCCCAAACAGCATCAGGATCATCGGTAGATCGGCAAAGAGGAGGACGAGTACCGGGTTCTCTTTGCATATAACAATCATTTGTAAGGGGTTTTTGCCAAATTACAGTCTGATTCCTCTTTGCAGCAATTCTCCAACACATACGACCCACAAGGGCACTCATTTCTCTCCATATTCTCAGATCCTCCTCATCCTGTGCATAAGCTTCTGGAGATGAATAAGCAAAATAGCCACCAGGTCTAAGTACTCTATCTAGCTCGAGAAGAAGAATCCCGTCTCTTTGAAGCCAATCAATTCGACAACGAGAACAGTGTGCAAGTTCAAAAGATCTGCTCGGGTAAGGGAGCCTCTTCGTTCCTAAAACACCAAGGTATGCAGGAATTCCTCTTTCTAAAGCAAACTGAATTTGATTTTGATGAACATCATTTGGTGCTAAGGACATTGCTATGATATTAGAAGAGAGAAGATATCCTCCAAAACTTGCGACACCACAACCGACATCAAGAACAGTACGCAGTCTTCCTTCATCGTTCATTTTATCATTTGAAAAGTTGAGCATCTGAAAGATGAATACCATAAACTTGAGACAACACCATGAATGGTAGAGATAAAAACATGATATTCTGTAAAAATGTGCAAATTTGAGTCATTTAATGAACTTTGTATTCAAAACATCATACAAAAAGCAAAAAAAAAAAAATTGTGTTATCCTTCCTTTCTAAAGGGTTCAGAAGTCTTACATTTGCAATTGAAGCAATGTACTTATCAGCTCCATAGTGAAAATGAGTACCTCCTCCAGGGAACACAATTTTTTCACCTTTGACAACCATCCAATTCTGATCCGATTTCTCGTGAGCAAGATGAGTATGTGGTATGTTCGCTTTCCACACTTCGTCTCTGCTCTTTGGCCACTTAATTGGAACCTGCAGCAACGCATTAGTAATAAGTAAAAGTTAGAAACCAGCAAAACCTTCAGATGTTACTCAGTGTTACCAAATAGCTACCTTATATCCTGCTGGAGGCGGAATCAGGCAATTGAACCGCCTCTCTGGTGGTGGGCAGTGTCTTTCATAATGCTCCATCAAAGAAAGGTCAAGTTTCAATCTCATTTGATATATGAGATGTCTGTCCAAGCAGGGAATCAGTTCCGAATGCCGATCGTCACAAACCTATGGTATAAGAAACAAAACTACATGAGTCTTCTTCACTTCCCAACAAATATTGGCTCAAGGAAGACAATTACCTACCGGGTAACTTTTCGGTACGATACCATCTTCTGGATCTTCCTGCACAGTTGTGGTTGAAGATTCTTCGGAGTCTTCACTCCCCAACAAATAATGGCTCAAGGATTTGCTGCCGTGCTGCAGAGTCGATGCACCTCGGTCTTGATTGCCAAAAATGGATCCATAATATGCATACAGAAACCCAAGAAATATGGCCACAACACATATGGTAGTGATTAAGCGCTTCTTCGGAGTTCCATCAGATCTTCCCCTCGTCATTTATCAAACTTTCAAGCTTTTCTCAACTATATAGTTCAACCCAAGTACGAAAATGAACAATGTTGCATGAATCACCTAAAGGAAAATTGGAATATAACCTCCTCTCCTGAAGCTACAGTAGAAAATGACACAATAAATCTGTAAAAATTCAGGAAACCATAAAGTTCCACCACAGAAGAACAGGCCAAAAAACACAAATAGCCTGGTTTACAGATATGTAAACCTGTTCTACTTAAAGTAAGTGAATTAGCCCCAATTACTATATTGGCAATCCTTTTTCCAATCAGGGAGCGGGAAAGCCAAGCCACCAGCTGAGCATTGAACTTTTTTCCTTGAAGCTGTTAGCCCAAAATGTCGGTTTAGATTAATAACTTAAACTTGCAGTAAATTTCAATAATCCTTCCCAGAAAATGGGAAGAGTCAAGAAATCCGACATTCTCAAACACCATAACTCAAGTTTAAGCAACAGAAATTTCTTCCAATATTCATAACAGGGGAGAAAAAATTCCAACCGAACTCCAAGCAAATTGAACATCGTACAATACACTGACAGTCATCTCGTGATTAAACCGACATCAAAATACGAAAATAGCTAAAGCGACGAAAGCAACGAGTGTCGGTGCATTCAACCAAATCCTGAGATCTGACAAATCACCAGAGCAAAATCCCATCCAACACTCATAAACGCATCGATTAAAATAACCAATAAACATCTCGAAAAAAAAAATGAAGGAATTAAGCAACGAGATCCAGAACCAAAAACAATTAAGATCCAAAACAGAAACCAAATGACAAAATGGGAGAAAAACAAGAAAACGGCAGCGGAATCTTACTGGAAGCGGATCGGGAAGCGAGTGCGAGGAGTCAGGATTAGAACAGCGAAAGTTTCCAGTAAGTGAAGGAAGAAGAAATTGAAAAGAACGACAAAGAATGGAGAGACCGAAAGAGAAATCAGATCTAAGAGTTGTGATTTGATGCAAAAAATAGCTAAATTTAGGAAAGGACTCGGTCTTAAGTACTCGCTGCTCTGCCTTTAGCCACACAGATAAAGAGAGAGAAGGAGGGTAGTGTTGTGGGTCGACATGACGAGAATAATTTAGTTTATAAATCTCTTATTTTTTATTTATTTAAATTAAGGTTAAATTGAATTTTGAGTGCTATTAAATAAATAAAACTATGAATGA